AATTCATATCAGTTGATGCATAATTACAAGCGCCTTATAGTCCTGCTGAAGACCAATTAAAATGAGAAACTGAAAGTTAACATTTCCTTCAAGTCATTTTTTGTCAATATTTCAAGAAACATTTGCCAACAAGTTCAATTTTGATACTTTTAAATAAATGCTGGTGTGTCTATCAAACCCTTAATGCTTCTAATTCAAAGCAAGTTAAATTCCAAGGAGACTGACACAATCTAGCAGCACAGACAAATATTAATCACATGTAGAATGTGTGCATAAAATGACATATAATTAAAATGATGCATTCTTTGTATTTGTTTCAAGCAGTTTATTAATGTGTAAGTAACAAAATGCCAATTTGAATAGATAAAACTCACAGGGCTTTACTCATAACTAAATACTTCTCTACTGACATTCAACCAATGCTTAATCATGTTTAACTGCTGTGCAATGTGTATTTGACTGTATTGTAATTCAATTCCAGTGGGTCTGCCAAGGACCGTTCCTCTGATCTTGTTTTAAATCTAATCAACCCAAACCCTGACTATAAAAAAACTAATTCTACCATAGCTTAGGTGCAACTCCTAATTCATGGTCCCCCTTTCTTCCCGAGTCACGACTGCAGTCATTATCACTATAAATATTGGCGGGACTCATTCATAGAAACAGCAGAAATGTTATTTTACTCAATTTACCTGAAAATGCAAGGAGACCGCCAAGGTCGTCCGAAAACAAATAAGCAACTGCTAGACTACAAAATTAAAGCCAAAAGAATTCCCAAGCTTTGATTTATTAAGGCAACCAACACATGTAAATCAGAAGTAACTGGCTGTAATAATTCTGATGGTCACCCTGCCTAACGTTCAATAATACAGCTCTGCAGTCCCTATTAACGTTGTTGACTGCGGTGACACATAGATTAAAAACCCCCTCTAGAGCAAGTCCAGAAGGAGAGGAGTTAAGGTTCCTGAAGATCCCCTCACCCTCCTCCACTGTCAAAATGACACAGCATTTCATGCCTTGCTGGTGCACTCACTCGCCCCCTCTCTCCATATCGCTCTCCAATACTAATAGAATCCCACATCCACACAATCAATCAGCACTCTGCCCAATTTGAATTCTGCTGACCGCCGCTCTCCCAGATATTTCAATTGCTTTGACTTTAGCGATAACCTGTCAGGGCTGGAAATGAGCTGCAGCTAAAAGCAATCGATGGAGCGGCCTGGATATAGGACAGCAGAACAGCATACTGTGGAAGAGTGTATTACAGAACACTACAGTACCCACTCAACCTCATGCCCAGCCACAGCCCTATCACACTGAAGCACAACACGTAGCACTGAGCTGGCTGACTTGCAAGCATAATGTATTTCAGCAGAAGAACGTCAGATCACGTACAAAGAGAGGAGGCCATTCAGCCTGTCTTGCCTATTTGGCTGGCAATTACTAACTGATCGTGAAATCTCATCAGGACGCTTCTTGTCCCAGATTGTTTGGAGTTGCATTTCTTGGTGTTCATTTCTACAGCACGACTGGGCTTGTTCCAGAGGCTAATTACTTTGTGTAAAGAGCTGCTTACTATTTTCAGTACTAAACACAATCCTTAATTGCTACTTGTAGAACACTTACTGTGTTTTCCATCAAGTCTGAAAAATAAAATTACTTTGGCTGGCTTTATTGTGACCAAGAAGAAATACAAATATTCCTACATTCTCCTTTTCTTCAAGAGTAAAGAGATTAATTTTCTTTATCCTATCAGCGTATGACATTCCAGTCAAGGACTTCTTGAGTGCTGAAAGCATCTATCCAACTCTTTTCAACCCACTTGCCCTAGCGAGGTTTGCAACATCAGCATAACAAGTAGGGAGGATCAGGCATTTTTCCTCCACAGCAGATTCCAGCTTCAGCTGGAGGATTCCCAAGCGTTCCCTGCCCAGCCCAGACATTTAATCCCACCAGCAGATACTGGGGTCTCCATGTCCAATAGACGGATTTCCCCTGGACATCTGTACCACATGCTCAAAACTATCTCAACTGGCTTTCCCAGACAGCAGAGCACCTTACCTAGTCTTATAGAGTAAGCCCTGCGAGGAAACCCAACTTCTACGTCTTGAATCTACAATATTGTCCTTCCTGTCATTACCCAGAATTCACGAACACATGAACTTGGTAAAGATGTAAACTGCCAGGAAATTCCTCTTCCATTTCCATGACCTGGAAATTTGGCTCCCATTTCACTACTACGGACTGACACAGAGAACAAAACACTGCAAATGCTGTGCCGTCATACCATCACTTGTGAGCAAGACCCCAAACGATCTGAACTCTTCCCCTAAGAGACGAAGCAAGGAATACACTTTTTTCCTTGGCAAGAACCGCAAGTTCAGACTTGGAAGTGCTCACTCTCATGTCTGCTTCTTCATAACCATCGGTAAAACATTCAACTGCACATCAGAGATCTCAGTAAGATGAGGCGAGAAGGATAATCTGCAGACAACAGGGATGCCAATTCCAAGTCCTGAAACTGAATGCTCTTGACATCTTGGGTGTGAAAATCAAGAATCCTTGGCAGAGTGCGACCACCTTGTACAAGAATACAGACACAGCTCTCGCACCAAAAATAGAGGGAGCCACCTCCCACAAGACAGCTGGAGTAAAATAGTCATATGCCTTCTGTAGGTTTGCAAAACTGCAAACACCCACAACACAGTGAATATCTGTAAGAGGAAAGAGCTGGTCCAATGTTCCATAGCCAGGACAAAACATTCATTGTTTCTCATAAAACCAATTTTCAACAAATCCAGAGAATCTCCTCTCCAGCATACTGCCATGGGCTTTGCCACAGAGGCTGAGATGTGTGATTGTCCTGTAGCAGAAGATACTCTCTAGTTCCTTTTGAACACCTCACTGTAGAAACAGCAAAACCTCAATGTTATTCAGAAATGTCAGCATCTCAGGGCAAATATCATTCACTCCCACCGCCTTTACACTTAACAGCTGCAGCAGCTCTGTTAGATCCGATTTCATTAGATGTTCCTGGGTGGCCTTCTGTGAAATGAAAGGGGTTCAGAAGGTCCTCTAGGTGATCTTCACTTCTGGACACTCTCTTCAGTCAAGATCACCGTTTGCAGAGAATAGCTGAGGCAAAGTTCCAAAAATCGGTTTTCATATAAATGGCTTAAAAATATGATTTCTTGTTCCAGTTATAGGCTAAGTGATCACATATAAATCTTTAAATCCACAGGCAAGGAATGATCAGTGTCTGACAATGCAACTGATACATCTTCAGAACGGATGTGAACACAATTTGAGCAAAGACAGAAAATTGGACTCGGGGACTGTTTCACAGGCAGAATGAGTTTGCCAACGACACGCATCTTGGCAGGGCTTTACTCCTAATGCATGTACAAATATTGGAACAAACACGGTTTTTAGAGGAGACACTGGGATTGGACCAGAATGTGGCAGGATTGTAATGATACTAATGAAACTGTTGCTCACATCTTGTGTATAATTATAAGATGACTCTACATTTAGATCATCAAACAAATAGCTCCTAAAATAAACCAGTCAAAGAAGTAAAAAAAGAAATGCAAGAGGACTGAAAACACTAATGTCTTGGCAATTTGGAAGAAATGCTCTTTAAATAACTCGCGAGTTCATGCTTAGCAGACAACACGAAATGTACAGACACCTAGGCAATGCTAAACATCCCTCTGAGATGACAACATATTCCCACATTTGCATAAAGAAACGCCAACTGTTCTTAGTTTGAAACGTACTTCCTGATAGTTTCCACCTGGGCCCTCTATTTTGTGTTTCAGTGTTCATTCTGGAGAAGTCCGCTGGGTTGACTTAGTAAATGCCTTTGTGGATTTTGAATACTTGGTCCCCTTCACAGTCTTCACAGGCTCAGTCCTTTTGGACTTTTAGTATAGGACATTCCCTCACAAGTCTCAAAAGGTATCTGTTTGCTCTCCTCTGGACTGATTCAATAGCAGAAAAATATGTTTATTAACATGGTGACTTAAATTGTTCAATATTCTAAATGAGGCATTAGCAGTGCATCTACAGAATTTTAAATAACATCCCTTGATTTAAATTCAATGCTATCAACTGCAGATCCTAACATCTTGTTTGTTTTTTTATTGCTTTCTTCAAAGTGTAAATGATGTGTCAACACAAACACCCGTCTAAAATAAGTAGACTCTTCTATCATGCGTTTCCCATTTCGTATTCACAGTTTATGCTTTCACTACCTGCATGCAAAACTCTGCACTTGTCTACAGTGAATGCCATCTGCTGGGTGCTTGTCCAATCCTGAATTTTATCTGAATCTTTTTGGATTTTATTTGCTTCCTCAACAGCAAATTAATAAACAGTAAAAAAAAAAACATCTGATATGATTATAAACTACAATGAACAAAGCCTGCCATCGCTGTAGTGGATTTACATTCTCAAAAGAGGCAGCTTCAGTATTTCTCACCTCCTCGTCTCTGTGCACTCCCAAATACATTCACAAATTCTCACTCTTACTCGCTGAACATCACTTGCTCGATGCACTCATCATATTAAAAAAATATAATATACAGTAGTATTAACAAATTACTTTCTTTCACCTTTTGAAAGGTTTGTTTTATTCAGGTCAACAGCTTACAAACACCCTAAACGTTCTGACAAAACCACTGAAGAATTAACCGCTCATCCGGCACATACATGTGGCTGATACCACGCTCTCCAAAGCAGTATCCAATCAGGGGACGTCTCTAATGTGGCAGGACATCAGCTCCATCTCAAGTGTCAACCAAGCAACAACGGCAGGTCCTGCTGCCACCTCAGCAATGGCAGGCGGACGTTAATCGTGATGAGACACTGAAGGAGAAGATTCAGGAACGAGCACTGTGTGACCCTCTGCTTTTTGTTTGTGCTCTTCAGTTAGCCACCCCCCTAACGAACAGGTGAAGAGAGTCTGGAGCCAACGTGGCTCTGGTGCACAAGCTTACCTGGCGTGACAAAGGGGTGCTGGTCTGGGAGAGGAGATGGGGCCTGCCTGCCGTCCGCAGAGTGTGCACCCTCCTGGTGGTCTGATGGATGAGGGAGGCAGGAAGGGGCTCCTGAGCAGAGAGAGACAGACATGAGAAATGGCCTTGAAAGGGTCGGGCACAGCAACAGAAAGTGCTATCCTTCCCACAGAGACGCAAGACACACCTGTGTGAACCCGTGTAGAAAGAGCAACGGGGCACCTCAAAGAATATTTCAACAAAACATAAAACAGGAAGGTTTAATTCAAAGGCCATAAGGCACTTCTATACTCTTCAGGGTTTGTGAGTCCAAATTGATTAGGCTGTGCTGGGTTAAAGAGTAAAGCCTCCATTAAGAAATCAGACAAGGAATGGCTTGAAAACCATACTAAATAAATCTATAAACACATCTCAGCTCTGACACAATGATCATATCACCTCTGAACATCAGCTGCAGCTGGACACTCTTGACCTATGTTGCTAGTGGCACAGGAAGCTCTGGCCAGTGACTGGTATGTGGGTCAGAACATGAACACTTTAATTCTGGAAGTGAGGAGCTCACTTGGCACACAAAGTGAGATGGGGGGGGGACATTCAGGATTTCTCTCACCCTCCACAAAGTATTTTAAGAAGTCTCAAGCCTGCAACACATCCGTCAGCAGTACAGTATATGTGTACCTGTTAATTACCCTTGACTGCAAATATCAAAGGTAGGGTTGCAGAGGTTGAAATAAGACTGGTGCTGCACTGATTTTGAGGCATTTTGGAATTTTTAAGCCTGCAGGATCTTGTATACAAGGCACCATATTCCAGATATTGCTTACTACCTCATTAGTTTAAATATTTATTTTCTTTTTTACTCTAGTATAACCCAAATGTTGGCAAATATGAACTGGATCAGGCAGAATTAGCGTTGTTTTATTCTCTGTTACTTGTACAGTACAATCCATGATCCCGTCTGCTCTGTCTGATAAATCAGTAGAGAAAGTGCAACCTATGACACCCAAACTCAGTCATGTGCAAAAAGGGAGCTGGGTCTTAACACCAAAGAGTATCTCCATGTCTACAAGACATCTTTGCTCAGAACGTTTGTTTAACCCTGGAGCAGCAATTGAGTATCAGATAGTTCATTTAACTGTCCTCTATTTTATTACCCTGACACTGTAAACAGAACTGCAATTTTTCCATCACCATGCATTACTGCAGCTACAGTGAAAAGCAGACAACCCTAAGTCAGCAGTGTGTCGCCCTGAAGAGAAAACCCCCTCTGAGCATGTGTGCTAGTACCCACAGACTCTGCACATCTTGGCACTAAATCATTCAGTAGTTTTTCAAAGCTAGGTAGCAAAATGACAGTAGAAAAAGAGTTCAAGTTAGGAAGAAGGAGCACATGACTATCACAAATCGTAGAATTAGTTCTGCTACATCTCGAACATTCAAACAAAGGAAACGGAAGAATCAACAGGGAAAAATTAAGCCCATCAGACAAAGATCAGGCAGTGTTATCAGGAGGTTCATTACTTCCAGTCATTGTTTCACCATATGTGTGCTCTTCCTCATTAGTTCAGTCCTCTGATCTGAACATGACAGACCAAGGAAGACACTGTGCACTACACAGAGCCCCTGGGCTTCTCCATCTGCCCAGAAGGAGTGCAGAGTGTGATGGGTTCATGCACAGCCAGTGCTCTAAGTGCGAGCCCTCCACCACACACGCGTTTGGATTTCTGTATTTGTGGAAAGAGGATGTCATTTGCTCCATGTAAAAAGTAATTTCCATTGTATAGTCTGCTTGTTAGGAATTATGGTTTTCATAAAACTGCTTTCTAAAACTTTGTCCACATATTGATGATAATGCATGGGCACGCACACACTCAATGCTCCAGGTGAATTGGCCTATATTGTAGCCATGGCAACTGCACAAGAGCTCACAGTGGTAAAGAGCTCTTGATTACCGCAGTTTGAGCAGGGTCAGGAGGTAACAACAGCCCAGCTTTTAGACAGCCATCTTACCCAGACCCCTGACCATACAGTTTCTCATGGGAGACGTTCTTACATCCCTGCAGTTTTCTTATTTTCTTTGGGCTTAGACTGTTATTTGCCATAACACCTTCCAAACTACCAAACTGACAGTTTGGCCTTGCTTTTACTGTACAGCAGGTGAGGGGTCCTCAGTTCAGATTCCCAAGGGCCCGAACAAGCTCTGCTGGATTTTCGTTTCCCTGGATTTACGATAACCTAAATTAAGCTGGAACAATTGAATTCTTCCATCCACTTCCAGTGGAAACCTAGAAACCCTGCAGGGCCTGGGGCACCTGGGATGAGACACCCCAGCTCCCTCGGGATGTAGAAGCCTGCTACTGTCCAAGATCCTTTACCTGCTAACCAGAAAAATACCTGTTTTCATGTGCATTCCAACCCAAATAAAATGGATTTTCAATTCCCAAGCACAATGGCAAGGATGGCATAAATTCCCCTTTTCTGCAATTCTGATGCAATAGCCTTTCAGCCGTTTTAACTATTTGGCTTTAAAAAAAATGTCAATTCCAGGACAAATCCAAGTTAATGCCCCTGACATTAAAATGAAACAGGAATGGAACCCAACTATGACATGTGAGAGTTTCAACATAAAAAAAACGTTTCATACAGAGGGGCTCTGCTTCAGCCCCTGCTGCAGTCATTAAGGGGGAATTACTCTCCATGCTGAACTCTGGCATCCAAGGCCGTGTCTGTGCTGGGCTGCAGACCTAAACACTTCCAAATCAAGCCCATACTCCCTAGACAGCACACAGGCAGCTAAGGCAGACCTGGCAAGTGAGGAAGAGAGGTGAAAAGAATAAGGAGACAGAAAAGAGAGAGTGATAGGGAGAAGGGGGGAAGGAAATCAGACAGCCCATTTGTATAGGAGACAGACACTCTTGGTTTTCTGATATGGATAGTTCCAAGTGCAGGATTTTTCATGGTTGTCACCTTATTTTGAGTAAATTTGAATAGTCAGATGTGGTTGAAATAATATTAAAAACACTTTGGCGTTCCAGCTCCATCAGCAAAGTTTGTACAAGGGCCTGTGGCCTGTAAAACAGCTCAAACTGCTCTTCGATAAGTCTTATTCCTGTATCAAAAATTGTTTCAACAATGTCTGGGTCTTTTGACGAGAAGGCTTAAAGCCATGTAAACGGGAAAATATTTGAAGTGGTGCTTTATAATGCAAAAGTTTCATTATATTTTCTCCATTTTGTGATGTTTCTTGTTGGATACTTCCAAACAATTGGGATTGCTTTCAGATAAATGGGAACACGTTGCCCAGCAGCAGAAAGTGGTCTCTATGTCAGCACAGAACTCCAAACAATAACCACGCTCCCGTCTTGACTTCACAGAAGCACCTCCTACCAACTGAAAATGAGAGCAGAAAACCACAAACCAGTGCTAGTAGGTTTCAGGCCACTTAATAGATTCAGATTACCATTCAAACCATGCTAGAGTGTGGTCAGACCCAGAACAACTTCTGCTTAGCAATATTGCAGGTTCCCCAGACTGGAGCTGTGCAGATAATCTCACATTGCAAAAAAAAAACCCAAAAACAAATTTCCCACCCCATTACACAGACTCCCACCAGAAAGAGAAATGGCTGTTTCAGCACGATTCTGTCAATATCTACAACACTCTGGGCATTACAACTGAACACTCTCCAGCTCTCCTACTCCACAGAACTTAAAATCAGCGAAGAACTGCTGGTCAGATATGAACAGACACGATGACATGAGACATGAACTGGTCAAACATGAACACCAAACGTGAATTGCAATAGTTTGGTGCATTTAACCCATATTCCACAAGCTAAGCCTGTCTGCATGTGCTAAACCTACAGTCTAAACCTAAAACAGTAAGAGAAAAACCAATACGAACTAATTCTGATACACTACAGAGAAAGCCCATGTCCTGTGATGCTAACACCGTGGTAAATAATGAATGCCTGAATGATTACCGCCCAGTAGCATTAACATCTGTGGTGATGAAATGCCTGGAGAAGCTGGTGTTGTCACACATCAACTCCTCCATCACAGAGTCCCTGGACCCCCTGCAGTTCGCCTACCAGAACAACAGATC